GGGGGGGGGGGGGGGGGGGTTCACTTAAACCCTTTTGCTCGTGTTAAGCGTTTCGCTAAGAACTAAATGCATATAAATTATAACACTCAGATTTTGTCTGTCCTGAAAGATGCACGCGTACTTCATTACCACGGATGTAAAAATACTGTAGTAGACATTTTGTACAACCCCCCCCCCCCTAGTGGCACAGGTGGTCAGAGCACAGATATCCCATTGCGTAGCTTTGTGTTTAGCTTCAAACAAACAAACAACATGTTAAAAGTTTAAAGTTTTTAAGAAGGCCTAACGTTAGGTCGTAGAATAAGCTTATTTATTGATAGTATCACATACTGTAAAGTTTAGCCCTAACTAAACTAAAGCAAAAAACGTACACAAGTTACAGCGTTAATTTATCTCTTTACCGAATATCGGCCGTACTTAATAAAGGCTTAACTAATGTTAGGCCTAAGACAAGTGGATTTGTAGATTTCGGTGTCTGCGTTTATAATTCCTTTGTATTACTCTAGAAATCCTGTATTTAAAGAAGTACTGTTGCAATAAAGATACTCATTTGACCACAAATGTTTTACGCGTCTCTGCTAGCAGTATTATAATAGCTTCGACTGAAGAACATAATATATTGGAGGAGCTTTTTTTTTCGGAACAATGCGCAAGTTTTCTTTATTTTTCTTTCATTAAAAATATGTTTAATTTACAACTTCATATACCCTTCTGAGTTGGCCTTTTTTTTTTTTAAGTACGCTTAGACAAAATTATAGCACTTAACTGAAGAGAACACGAAGAAAATTTTGAGGCTCGATCCTCGTAAACGTCGCCAGGACGACAACACATGATATATCCGATTCGTCGTCATCATGCCTTGTGGTATTCTTAACCTTGACTAAAGGCACGATACTACTGGCACGTGCCCAAAGATTACAGCTCTACATTTTTGGCAGATCAAGAAGCAATGGCGTCAAACAAGAAAGGGAGCGGATACGATAAGCAAGAAGACAAGGATCACTAAATGGTCACATTCCTAACAACCAAATATGTTTCCGTCAGGATCACTAGATGGCCACATTCCTAACAACCAATATGGTTCTGTCAGGATCACTATATGACCACATTCCTAACAACCAACGTGGTTCTGTCCTCTTTTTCTGTTTGTCATCTCGGTAAGCATATCTATGTTGTGACGCATCAAGGTCTGGGCATTACTCCAGGGGGGCTGTCCATTAATTACAATGTCAGTCTGAGGACGAATTAATGCGCGCAGAAGAACATTTGAGCGTATCATTAAAATGTTCTGTCTTTTTCTAAAATTTGCTTCAAAAGATACAATGTTAAAAAATCATGTTACAATTTCCTTTTCAATAACCTTTTTAGTTAAACCTAGATTCTTATATAGCGTCTAGTTTAATGTCTGAGGTATTTGGGTCAATGTTTTTCTCCAGGTCGAAGGTCACCCTAGTTTGATATACTACACTAGCAATGATTTAATACTCAAAGATTTTACGACATATAATAGTATTAGAAAATCACGTTGCAACAGTTACGAGTACTTGGATATCCATGACCCGGAACTCTTGGGGTCATGACCCGGAACTGGAAATAGCATTTTGTTTTTATTATACTTGTCATAAGACATTGATTTTTTTTGGCCTATTAATTCTTAACACTACATTATTTATTTAGTCCCTAAGGGATAGGATAAAGAATACAGTGGGAAACGATATGATAGGCCTAAAACCAATGTCTAACGACAAGTATAATTAATTGTAATCATGCTTAATCAACTTGACAAAAATTGATTATACCGTAATAGGGGTATTTGTTGTCATAAGAGATGGTTCCTGAAAAACTCTCTCAAATCATTCCCTAAATACTAGTTTGGATGTAGAGAAACGTGTGTTAAAGTATTACCGTAGAAACGTGTTATTTATGTAGGAATATTTTGGATTATCACAGGAGCATTGAGGTTGTCCCTAATCCTGTTCATTAATACAACTGATGTAGTATTATCATAGAAACGTGTTATTTATGTAGGAATATTTTGGATTATCACAGGAGTATTGATGTATTAATGAACAGGAATAGGGACAACCACTGATGAAGGTTTTTTTTCACAGGAACAGTTGATGTATTAACGAAACAAGATTAGGGACAACCACTGATGTAGAGTTTTTCACAGAAACAGTTGGTGTATTAATGAACAGGAATAGGGACAACCACTGATGTAGGGAAGTTTCACAGGAACAGTTGATGTATTAACGAAACAAGATTAGGGACAACCACTGATGTAGAGTTTTTTCACAGGAACAGTTGATGTATTAATGAACAGGAATAGGGACAACCACTGATATGGAGGTTCCAACAAAAACGTTTATAAAAGAGCCTGATATAGGTTCTTTTAAGTTTGCGTGTTTTTTTCGCTTTAAATTAAGATGTAATCGACGCTTCGTGTTTGAGGAGTTATTATATTTCACGTCAAATCATATTACTTGCACATTATATCTAACACTGAAGATAAGTAAGTTTATCCGTGTGTCATGTGCATAACACCAGGTTCAACGAACTCACCCGTGTGAGAATTTTATCGTAGCCAGATTTAATGTAAACATAAATCGCACACAGGACCTTGCTCATCTTCTGGAACCAACTATTTCTGTTTTGCCCTTAAAAATACTTCTAAATATCTTAATGCGGCCGACTTTTGGGCCTCGTTTGAAAAAACCATTACAACTTTTGTACGTGATCCTGTGTGCTAACTTCTTAATCAGAATATTATTATTTTAATCTATGTTTGTTAACAAATCCAATTTTTTATTTTACCACAGTGTGGCTTTATTGAAAAAAGTATGTTGTTTAAGTGAAGCCCAAACGTTTTGCTTTGTTACTTAACTATGAAAGAAAGGTGTCGCCACCTGCCTTACCTTTCTTTACCTTGTTTGTGTTTACTACAACTTTCTCTCTCTTGTTCTGGAACTGGAATGATTTTACGATCTTTCAAACGTATAACGACTTATTTCTGTAAAAGATGTACACTGGATGTGAAATTTGCTGTTCGGAAAAAGATAGAAGTTTTTTTTTAAACCACCTTTCCGTTTTTTTTAAAAAAATCACACGCACGTTGCCGATAGGTTACAGCACCCTTGAAAAGGTCGGGGGAGAACTGTGTTTAAACGACATCGCCCAGCCCCCCGGGCTTCTGGCTTCAGCATATAGACGCTCGGTCTTGCTTCAGTTGAAGGAAGCTGATATTTTTTTTTCTTTAACGTACATGCTAAAACACACACCTCTGTAGAAATCAACACCTTACCAAAGATGTAGCACGATTATACTAACAGTACGGGCCATTCTAACGTCAATATATTTTCCAATTTGGAAACTAGCCAGTGTTTGTTTGGTTCGTGTGACAAGACCAGTTAGAGATTTTATAAAACCACAATCGCTCATTACTGTTAGACAACAAGATCCATGAACTCACGACTCGGTTGGCTGTTCGTGCTGCTAAGTGTAAATGTTCTGATTTAATTACTTTTTTTTTACAACCTCATGAATAATGTTTAAAAAACTTATTCCTGTAAACCGTATGCTTGTTAAGCAATCACAGAAGCTCAAATTATAGCTTCTCAGCTATAAATTTGATGGTCGTTAATCGCTTACGATGGATAACTCTATATCCACACTTTTGTGCAGCGTAGCAGAATTTTGAAGATGAGGATGAATGATGTAAACATTACACTTTCGTTACATTAGCGTTTGGTGTTAAAAAACCGTTACATTAGCGGTTGGTGTTAAAAAAACCCGTTACATTAGCGTTTGGTGTTAAAAAAACCGTTACATTAGCGTTTGGTGTTAAAAACCCCGTTACATTAGCGGTTGGTGTTAAAAAACCGTTACATTAGCGGTTGGTGTTAAAAACCCGTTACATTAGCGGTTGGTGTTAAAAAACCGTTAAATTAGCGGTTGGTGTTAAAAAACCGTTACATTAGCGGTTGGTGTTTAGAAAAACCGTTATATTAGCGGTTGGTGTACAAAAAAACCCCGTTACGTTAGCGGTTCGTGTTTTAAAAAAACGTTATATTAGCGGTTGGTGTTAAAAAACCCGTCAGACCAGCACTTGCACACTGCACGTTTTAAAAGACTGCTTAAAACAAGTTACACACCACACGTTTTAAGAGACTACGTAATACAAGATACACACCACACGTTTTAAGACTACGTAATACAAGTTACACACCACACGTTTTAAGAGACTGCTTAAAACAAGTTACACACCACACGTTTTAAGACTACGTAATACAAGTTACACACCACACGTTTTAGGAGACTATGTAATACAAGTTACACACTACACGTTTTAAGACTACGTAATACAAGTTACACACCACACGTTTTAAGAGACTATGTAATACAAGTTACACACCACACGTTTTAAGACTACGTAATACAAGATACACACCACACGTTTTAAGAGACTACGTAATACAAGATACACACCACACGTTTTAAGAGACTGCTTAAAACAAGTTACACACCACATGTTTTAAGACTACGTAATACAAGTTACACACCACACGTTTTAAGACTACGTAATACAAGTTACACACCACACGTTTTAAGAGACTACGTAATACAAGTTATGACATGCTTTGATTCCATTAACAATTATTACATGTAACATGTTCTACACGTGTTTATTGTTACATATAGCTTATTTTACGCCTGCCAATGATCGTTACATAGTTTTGTTCTACGCGTTTCAATAGTTGTTACATAGGTTCTGTTTTATACAAAGCCTCATCCAAATAACTGTCATACACCCTTCAGCTAGTTTTAGTAAGCCGCACGAATTCACACATCTCGTATTTGAAATGGAGCCTAATATCAGTTTACTTTGTCAACAGTTTGGTTGCACGTGCCACGTGGGGAATGGTTTCATACTGTGTATTCAGTAGTGAAATGTGTTTACAATAAAAACTCGTTGTTCGCTAACAAAACCAAAACCATACATGAAAAACTATCTCCTATACCAGGTTTCTATAGTTACACGATAAAAAAGAAAACGTAAAAACCTCAGCCAAAGTGAATGCTCCGAAAAAAAAAAGGATTTAAAACACGTGGTCCTAAAATAAATGTTCACACACAGGCCAAGATTTTGAAACGCGGCCGAAAACAATGTTGAAATGTAATTAGGTCGAAATACGCACTTATATAAACACAAAGCTAAAGACTCGGTCGGGTAAGTAAATTAGAAACAGATAATAGGCTTAAGGGTTAATGAAATGATGAAGAATGTCGCATGTACGGACAGGAGTTACTCAAAGCATTTAGATAATCCCGGAGATTTGATAAGGGAAACAAAACACTGAGTAAAAACTTTCATTCTTCCTTATCTGTTCCCGTTTCGTCGTCATTTTTTAACTCGTCGAAATAAACGGGGAATAAGATGAGTATGACGAGAAGAACTCGACTAGAACTCAAGCAGACGTTTGGGCCGGAAGTACAGCTCGTGTTCTGGACATTAACCTTAACCATGATGTCCAAAATGTTGACCGCAGATAACCTCCGTAAGTTCAACAACCAGCATCCTCGTAAGACGCTTTGATTGAAGCCCATGACAACCAGCATCCTCGTAAGACGCTTTGATTGAAGCCCATGACAACCAGCCTCCTCGTAAGACGCTTTGATTGAAGCTCATGACAACCAGCCTCCTCGTTAGACGCTTTGATTAAAGCCCATGACAACCAGCCTCCTCGTAAGACGCTCTATGTAACATGAGATGTAATCTTCAGGAGCCTCGGAACTACCTACAGCGCACTCGTACGGGAAGTATCGTAAATAAAACGTGTGGAGTATTCTATTTCCCAGAATCAAAGAACAGCTTGTGCCCGTCGGTAACCGTAGAAAGTATCGTGTGCGTGTGTGAACGAGGCACGGCACGGGATGTTGGCAACGGGAAGCGTGCGTGCGTGCCGTGAAACCGAAGAACGGTCATTATGACATGGGCCTCAATCAAAGCGTCTTACGAGAAGGCTGGTTGTCATGGGCTTCAATCAAGATGTGAAAAGTAATAATAAAAATAAAATGGAGAAAAGGCGAATTGCTGTGATATTGTGTCTTAATGGACTAAAACAGACTGTAAGGGGGATAGGGAGGCATCATGTGAAAGACTTGAATTGTTCTAGACAAATATGGGAACACAAAATAAGTGGCGAAAAGGGTCTCCAGGTCAAAATTACAAATAAAAGAGCAGTTCAAGACAACTTAGTTTTACTTACTTGATCTTGTGTCAATCCAGTTTGTAATGGTATAATATTAAAGCATATTTCACAATGTAAATATCATTTCGCTAAATACGTTTTTGTTTCATTTTTTTACCTTTCTATATTGGTCATTTTCGGCTCGGTCTGTTTGTTTTAATTAATTCATATTCCTAATCACAGATGTCGCTAAGATTTCCTTAGGCATTTTTATGTTTAAGGCAACTAGTAAGGCTTTCTATCACCGTCCTCTATTTTGAACTATTGACCAGAAGAAAGGCAGCCAATCAACAACATCCCTGCCATCTACGCTAGGGGATTGACTGGCACTCGCTGCTTAAAACTCGGAGAATACTTTGTGGTACTGAAGGGATTCGAACCCAGCTCCCCAATTCCAGAACTCTACCATAGGGCCAACCTGCGGCTATTTTTCTAAGGGAGGAGGGAGAGATTCATTTCTGTTCATGGTGCTCCTTTCTTAGTTAAGTATGTACGTAAAACTGCACGTGCTATGACGTTAACTCGATGGGGAACAACTTGAGTTTGATTAAATATTCACGCAAATTTAACAATAAACTGGATGCTACTTAGCTGAAGTGAATGTGTAATAACAACTATAAGTATGTAAATCCCTTTTTAATAACTACTTTTGCACTTTATTATATAACACAGAAATACTGTCCTTTGAATTCTGCCTAGAAGTACATAAGTGTTTAAAAAAAAAAAAACAGCGTAACTGAACACGTGAAGGATGTATCTCGTCCAGAACGTGATTTTGACAGTATGACGATTCTCTCTCTGGTCAGTGCGGTGGATGGAGAATGGCGTGGTAACTAACCCAATCACGCTGTGCTGAGAAACGGGACCGCTGGCCGTTGAGTATATCTGAATACGTTACGATTCTACTAAGGATATTTATTGCTTTCACTGTTAAGCTGCAAGTAGATATCGCGGACCGTGTAATTAATGTTTATTTACGGTCCAAAAAAAAAAGAGGGTTCGTTCCGAGTTTAAAATGCGATTTTTATGGTCATTTTATGATCTTACCAACGTCGTCTGAAAGGGTTGAATCATAATATATAAATGCAGTTTTTTGACACCAGGGGGCGCTGCTGGTTTTGTCTGATTTTTTAACACAAGGGGGCGCTGCTGGTTCTCATTATTGTAGCATTTTATAAACCAATAAGAAAAAGCTGTTACTAACTTGCAATGTGTTCTAAACAAAGAATGGTATGACGAAGAATTTGTAGTCAAGTTTGCACAGTTGAGATTTCGAAGTGATCTGCATGCATTTTTTTTTTTTTTAGTATTTTACATAACATATTTTTAGTTACACTATAGGAGTGTGAAACAACCGCCAGGGGAATCGGTGTCTTCTTTCTTAAACTATTGAAAAGAAGTAACTATTTTCCCTGATTTAATACCATTTGGTAAATAGATCCGCCAAACACTTTTAATATTAGGCTTAATTAAAAAAAAGTTATTTCCCCCGAATAGGGGACCGAAGGCCGCCTGGATAGGTAACCACCATACAGTTGTGTGTTGTCTGTCAGTCAGTCAGTAGCTACTAAAATGACGTCACGTTGTGGATGCTTAACGTTGCAAATTTTACTGTCGTGACGTCAGTAAAACGTGCGCATGCCATGAATCACGAGAAGAGTTATGCCCTCTGTGGGCATGACATATAAACTTCAAAAAAACAAGAAAACGAAGTAATCCTTAAGTTAAATATTTAGGTTTCAAAGTTTAGAAAAGGGGTTTTGCTACTCTGTTGAGTTAAGAAGTACGGGGAGTGATTGTATATCAGTAGAGGACGTCTGAGTGGAACATACATCAAGCAGCTGGGCGAAGGTAAACCAGGATGATTTGCTGATTCTTTCTATTGAGTCAGCGTGAGTTGTGCACCTGCAGTCGAACCACAGGTACAAGGTTATAGGCTAATTAGTGATTCCAGCACTTTATTACATCATGTCTCTGATTTCCTCATGTCTACGCCTTTTGGTAAAGCTTCGTTTGTAGCTGAAAGTATTTATGGCACCAGTTTCTTAAACACGTGAAGAAGTGATAAGTACACGTTTTGTTTTAACCGATACCAAGAAACGATCCCCCCCCGAAAATAAAACTTTTTTTAGTGAATATTACTTTTGTAGTCGACCGTGTTATATATCATTGATATTTAATATTTAACGCAATAATTATTTAAAAAATATATATATTTATATAAAAAATCACAACCAGGTCCGATGCCAGTCTTTTCCGGGGAGGTTAGATCACATAGAATATTTGGAGGGGGGGGGGCTTTGCCGTCAAGATTTGTAGGTAACCAGCGTGTTGGAGACGCTCACTGGGGTGGCTAAGAGAAATTTCGAGGTGGCTATAGCCCCACTTCCTGGTCCCCCTTTAGTGCCCCCTCCCGTTCACCACACTAACCATTATTGTTACAAACTTGTATACACCGAAGTAAATTACACTCGCTTATAATTTCTTTGTTATTGATAATTACAACAAAGTAAAATAGTGTTATATTTGTTAAATATGTAGGTGTAACTATGAGGAACGCATATGAAATATTATTGAAGCACGAGCCAACATAAGTTTTTAGGCTTATGAAAAATAATGATTTACGAGGGCTATAGCTAGTAAAAATAAGACGTATATTTGCTTCTTTATAACTCCCCCCTCCCCGAACGCCCCTCAGTCTACGTCCTTGAATATTACGTTTGATTGACACGTAACAAATAAAGGTGGAATGCTGTTTTATTTATTTATTCTTGTAAGCATTGACATTATAGACTAAAGTAAGTCAGTGGTGTGTTGCGTATCACTACTGGTACTAGACACGACGTGAATGGTGACAACGTATAAAATAATTTACAACAAACCCTCCAAGTTCAAACAAATCCTTACAGTGTGTTTATCGTCATAGTCTTATGTTGGTGTGCTTGTTTACAGTGTGTTTATCATCATAGTCTTATGTTGGTGTACTTGTTTACAGTGCGTTTATCGTCATAGTCTTATGTTGGTGTACTGGTTTACAGTGTGTTTATCATCATAGTCTTATGTTGGTGTACTTGTTTACAGTGCGTTTATCACCATAGTCTTATGTTGGTGTACTTGTTTACAGTGTGTTTATCATCATCGTCTTATGTTGGTGTACTTGTTTACAGTGCGTTTATCGTCATAGTCTTATGTTGGTGTACTTGTTTACAGTGTGTTTATCATCATAGTCTTATGTTGGTGTACTTGTTTACAGTGCGTTTATCACCATAGTCTTATGTTGGTGTACTTGTTTACAGTGCGTTTATCATCATAGTCTTATGTTGGTGTAGTTTACAGTGTGTTTAGCTTCATAGTCTAATAACCCGAGTGGCACAGCGGTATGTCTGCGGACTTATACCACTAGAAACCAGGTTTCGATACCTGTTTAGTGTAAATTCATATTATATTGGTTAATCATTGTTTTAGTATATCTTTTGAAATCGTAACCACATCCTATTATCATGGTAGTTTTCCCTTATAAATAATTTAGCTTCATATCGTCAGGTTCACATATTATCTTGAAATAGGTCCTATTATTAGTATATCTTCATATCGACATATCTTCTTACAGCATAGCCTTATAGAGCATATCTAATAACATACAACGAATAGAAGATATCCGTCTTCTTATATATATATTTGTAATTTTATCAATATCGTTTTTATTCTCGTAATATTTTATTTGATAACCTTTGTTGTTCGTAATACAATGTGCATACCTAGTAAATTGTTCACAAGTTCTTTGATCTTGAATGATTAATTTCGTAGGTTGGGATTATTATAAAGATCAAGCTGACGAAAGCTAGGATTATTCGATACACACAAAACTTTATTTATGAAAACAAGTCCTCGCGGCTGGTCAGTTCATAAATAGACCAAAAGAAGAGATAAGTGCGCGAGACATTAGAGAAAACGCACAAAACAGCTTGCTATGGTGAACGGTATGCAAAAAAAACACGAAAAGAAACGAATAAAAACATAATTAAATTTCAAAAAAAAATACAAATTCGGAGAAGGGAAAAATAATGATGGACTAATGAAATATATTCTACTTAATGCTCCTTATATTTCCTTGAACATTCAGAATGAATATACTAAACCACGTGTTCTCAAATTAACATTTGGGTAATGACCGCCATAAGATATAGTTATCATATGTCTCGAACAACGAAGAATAATTGGATATATATATGCGTTACTAATGGAAATGCTTCTTAGATGAAGGAGGGGAAGAAAGATACTTACTTTTACGACAACGTCCTGT